TATTATAGTAGGGGTAAATAGATATTAGACTATTAGTAGCACTTAATTAATAGATAAATATAAAAATAAGTAAATTAAAAATAAGAATATAATTATTTAGCTTAATTAGCTGCTTTTTAATATAAGAGGGATAAAAAGTAATTACCTTATAATAAAATATATTAAAAGTTATAGTAAAATAATAAAAAAAGAAACCAATAATTTAATAGTAAGTTTCTATTAATATTAAGTTATAGTAGAGCAGACTAGCTTACTTTATATAAATTACTTAAAGCTAATTAGATAATTTTTATTATTTATTTATCTATAAAGAAAAAATATATTATTATATTATAGATATTAGTTATAACTAAGCTTACTATCTTATCTTATATAAAATAAAAGATCTATAAGTTAGTTACTAATTAGTAGTAATTAAGATAGATAAAACTAGTAAGATATAATATTTTCTTAGCTAATATTACTAGAAATATATTAACTAATTACTACTTAATACTTAAGCCTATAGCAATACTAAAAGAGTTATATACTTTACCGTCCGAACTGTACGTTACCTTAGTCGAGCTGAGGTAGCTTACTGGGAGGTTGCCGGGGCGTAATCGGTCGTGCTATGTGGCTCGGGAAGGGAGATTATTCTGTTGTTATTGCAGCTTGATATTGCTTTGGTGTTGTGGATTATTATTGTAGACTACTCTCTGTAGTGGAGAGAGGCTTGAGACTAGATGCAAGTGGGGCACTAACCCTAACAGCGTATCTACGATTACTCCTAGAAAAGCTAGTCTTACTTAGCCTGGCGCTATAAGTTAAAGACCCTACTTTTCGTGGCACTGTTACGGGCCAGGGCCCACATCCTTGCGGCTGTGCCGCAAGACGTACTAGGCTCGTGCGCGCCAGGGATGAGAAATCGTTCCACAGCTCAGGGGCGCTTAGAAACTTCTTTCTTTCTTCTTCATCTTTGATGTTAATAGCATCCTGGACTAGATAGCTGGAATCCAGCTACTAGAGGCCGTTCACAAGCTTGAGGTACGACCGTTATAAGTTACACTTACACAAGCTGCAGCTAAAGCACTGCCAATTATAGGATTTACAGTAACAGCTTTAATGCTAATAGTGGCGGCGTATATGCTATGGAGTGGACCTCAGATCACATTTCTATCTGGTTTTTCACCTGCAATTAGATCCCTGACAACAAGAGCTGTCACAGATAAGGAGTGAGTCGAAGGATTCATCCTCCATATCGTGATCAGCTGTCCAGATCCAGACATTTTCGAGATATACGCTCGACTTTGGCGTCATATGCATCATCAGAGACGATGCTTTGCATTTTACGTTAACTTTGCGCGTCTTTTTTAGGCCAGTTTTCGACCGTGAGATCAGATCCCTTTGCGCCGCCAACTCAAATGTCAGTATCTAGAAATCAAAGTCAGTAGTTGTCTTAGGTAGAGTCGTACTCCTGAGGACCTCACCCAGGGAATCCCTACCTAGAATAGGCCTCGCCAGCTTGGAATAGTAGAGCCAACCTACGTCATTAACATCGACATGGACTCTACGAAGCACATGTCAAACCAGCGATGCAGGAACTGTGTGTGGCTGTATATTAGGTAGAGGGAGAGCGCGAGTAGGCAGCAATCGACTTATGGTATATCTACTAACGGGATCTTGCAGCAGGAGCTACCAAATCGGCGGCTAGAACACACTCTAGTTGTCTCTGAAGAATATATTATAAATCTAATACCATATGCTGCGTATCAAAGCATCAGTTTCACAGTCAAGTTTCCAATCGCCGGCTGACTGTCCCGTGTAGTACTCAGCCCCTTGGCTCGACCGGCGGAATGGGTGTTTGGCCAGGAACCGGAACGACCGGCCCACTCGTAGCCAACTTGAGCTCCAAGAACTTGATGTTTGAGCTGGGTAGTAGACTGGGGATCTTGGCGCCGACTTGCGACAGGGCCTCGGACGCCTGGAGGATTGCAGCCTTCTCCCGCCCAAGCTCTCTCCTCTGCCTCGTGCTCCGGAAAAGGAACTTGTCGAGCTGGGACGTATTCACGCGGAGCTCAGTATTCTCTTGGTCCACTGTCGCGGCGCACTCATTCAATGCCTGCTTCAGCTGGAGCAGCTCTCGCGCAAACGTCTTCACGGTCGAGCTGGTGGTTTCGGCGTGGCGGTTGAGTGACGTAATGTCGGTTTGTACGTTGTTCACCTTGCTGATCTGGTTCTGGTGGCTGATTTGAGCCGTCTTCTGCCGCTGGATCCTCAACCGCAGGTCAGAAACGCGGCTCTGGAGCTGCGACTTCTCCTTGGCCAAAGATGTCACCGAGTTCTCAGCGTCCTGGATCTGAGTATTAAGAGACGCGATTTGCCATTCGGTTGACGAGATCTCGTCCTTCAGGTCGTTATAGTCGAGCGCCATGCCGCTTCCCAAAGTCAGTCACTGCAGTGTACTGTTTTACCTGGGAGAACATCTTACGCTCCAACGCCCGCCCCAACGCCCGCAGCCAATAGTGACAATCCTCCTGTGACTGGCGCCAAGCCGATACTGATGATCGCGGTGCTCTTGAAACGGTTAGCCGAGCGAATTAGAGTGCTAGACAGTACCGAGGGCGCCTTGGAACATACAAAGCCTAGGACGGCCTTGGCCTTTTTCTTCTCCGCTTTTGTCCTGGCCTCTGCGAGGCTCTCTTGCGTCTGCTGCAAGGATTTCTGTAAACCTGGCAGCTTCGCTCGGAGGGTGGCGGCCTCTCGAGTCTTGTTCGTGATCTCCGTGGTCTTTTGTCGCATGCTTTCCTCCGCCTCATCGACAAGCCGTTGGCTAGTCCGCAGCTGCTCCGCAGCTCGGGTGGCGAGCTGTTGGCTCTCCTGCTGAGCGAGGCCGAGTTCGCGCTGTTGAACAGCAATGTCTTGAGACACATCGTTGACATTGTTCTCGTATGCCATCGTCTTGGCCATTGCGTCCTGGGCCTTGTTCTCGGCCGTCTGGAAATCCGTTAATATACTCGCGATGTTAGTGCTGAGCCAGGCGATCTGCGGCTTGAGATCGACTTCTTTGGCGGGGCGGCCCTCGATCAACCTCATGCAGGATTTCACCTCGCCCGCCACGTGCTCTATACGCTGATTGCTTTGGAGCAGGGCGTCGCGCATGCCGACCACGTCCTGACCGATCTCGGTGCGACCGGTCGTTTCGTAGTTGTCGAGTTTTTTGGATGACTGTGTAAGCGAGCACTCAATTGAGCCCACTTTCTTTGTGAGGCCATCCATGGTGATGAAGAAGACAAGAGATATAACTTTAGTTACAACAAAAGGGAACGAAGTGTCTGCAACTACTAAAAACCTGGAAACTTAAAGCGAGATAAAAATCTACCTCAGCGACATGGTGGGAGAAGATGGACTGCAGTTGTCGTAATGAAGAGGCTCCCATGGTTCCCGTGGTTCAGCCAGACACACGCAGTTGCTTGGGTTTCGGAGCTGAACAATATGGCTGATTCTAGGCTCGGTCTGGTCTCAGCTCAGCGGTAGATTTTCATGACAAAACCACGCCATGTGGCTTGAAACAGAATGTCCTATTCGCCCGTCAGCCTCATTCGCCGATCCCATCCGTTCTAGGGCTTAGCAACCTGCATGTCTCTGCTCAGCTTCACTTCACTATTGCCAATATGAGAGTCTCGACTCTCGCATGTGGGTGGTCGAGGACCAATTAGGCCGCCTCCTGACTGCCCTTGGGGCTTGGAGCTGAGATGCCCTTGTCTGAATCTATCAGCATGGCGGTGGCGAAGGCCCAAGCCAGGCATGGGGGTCTCGCCGGCTAACCAGGCTCAGGACAGAAGCTGTGGGCGGCCCTTGGAGGCGCATCGCCTGAGGCAGATTCCACAGTGCCCAAGTCTTGGATGCAGCCGCCAAGGCTGGATTGAAAAGCTGAAGACCTCCTAGACAGTCAGTCACTGGCATTATTTCACCCGGGCTCTCTGCGCCGAAAACACACACCAGCACTTGCACACTCTAGCCATTCAAAGTTCCTGCTCAGTCGAACGACCCTTGATCCGTTCGAGTACATCGACTTACAATGACTTCTGTTCCCAAAGCCCCGGAAGGCTATGGTGCCACTAATGATGGCCAACCTCCCACATACGAAGCCTCTTCGGCCGGTGACTCCTCGCACGACCCTCCCGCCGACGACCATCAGCGGGCCTGGCCCCGCGACCCTCGCGTAGTGTACGCCAGGCAGGTCCAGCGTGCCTGTAAGACGGCCTGGAAACAAGTCACCGAGGATAACGCACTTGCAAACAGTTCTTGGGCCGCTCCCCTGGCGGCGGCTCCTACGGCCATCTCTGTCATGGCCTTTCTCCTCAAGACGGCGGCAGATCGCAAGGCCGCGGGAATCACCGTCTCAGATCTGGTCATCAAGACCGAAGACGGAACCGAGGTTGGAAAGCTTCCGTGAGTTATCCCTGATTCATGCGACGGCTACGCGCTGCTTTCTGATTTGAGCCCCCGCGACTGACCGAATTGGCCAGGTCCAAGTACTTCCACACAAATCTCCAACACTGTAGCGACGTCGGTCGGCTCGCGTTCCTCGATGCCCAGAAGAGAATGAACAAGATCAACCGCGTTGCTCGGACCATGATGGAGGACGGTGGGAGCGTGAGCTACATCGTGGAACTCCTCGAAGATCCCGAAGATGCCAAGTTGAATCTCAAGCCGGAGTTAGATGAGGTGAAGAAGACGGCAGTAGATTGCAGGGAGGAATGTGAAGACGTCAAGAAGAAGTTCGAATACTGGCAGCGCGTTATCATCCATCTGTCGCAAACAGCCCTGGACCTGAGAGGTAAGTCGAGTTGCACACTTAAGGCTGAACCCCTTTCCCGATCGCTAATACAAACGAGTCCAGGCGAGAAGATTCTTATGGCGGAGAAGGTCAGCGCCCAGAAGAATGTGGCGTCTGTCGACATCACGAAGCACGGAGAACAGAGCGCCTCGGCGGAGAGGAAGATCGGTGTCATGAAAAAACAGCTAGACGCTGCCAGAGAAAGAGTGGACAAGGCTCAAGATGAGCTCGAGTATCTTCTTTCTCTTCCCCCTATCGAAGAGCCTTCCTACTACGAAGACCTGGACACGGCCCAACGGCTGGCTGGGCCTATGACAAGCGCTCCCAAGCTTAGTAAGTGCTCTTCATTCAACTCTCAACACGACCAGGTCCGGAACCAATTGTTAACGACACTTTAAGACCGCGGCTACATTGCGAACATCGGTAGCACATGGTTCGGCATCAACTCAAAGAAGTATAGGAACGAAGACCAAGAGTACGATGAGGCCCACCGAGCCAAGCACGAGCGCAAACAGCAGCAAATCATTGACGATGAGAGAGCTCGACGCGAAGCCTGCAGAAAACGGGCCGAAGACAAGGTCAACGATGCGCGAGTCAGCGCAGCCACCATATTTAGAGAGATCGACCAGGCTGTGAAAGACTTATCGCTCGAGGAAGACAAATTGGCGGACGCCAAGGCGAGCTTGGCCAAGGCCAGCTCCGATCTGAAGCGGCTCGGGAATCAGGAATTAGAGCTGGTAAGGCCATCTCCGCATCTTCTACCCCTTCATATTTCCCTTCCAATTTTGAGGATGGGGCTGATAGTTTTAAGAACGATATTGTCAAGATTCTTAGGGAGTCTACGTACGAGCTAGGTAAGCTCAAAGAGCAGCTTGAGCCTCTGATCCTGTTTTTCTCCGGCCTGGAAACGACCATTTCTGTCGATGTTATGAAACAGGTCGATGCCTTCTTGAAGACGATTGAGCGGAATGTCCAGGGCGGCTCCGACCCGAATGAGGTGTCCATCAACCTCGGCAAGGCAAGCAAAAAGGTAAGTGAACAAGACCT